TATTATTATTATTATTATTATTATTATTATTATTATTATTATTATTATTATTATTATTATTGAGCTAGGTCTTTTATACTTTAGATATTGTAGAAATGTTATCTAGGTGAATTTTTATAATGTGTTGAATGGTAAAATTACATAGAATTATTAAAAAAATTATAAGTTGATCACATTTTACTAAATTTAGAGGTATGCTGCAAAAGGCAAATGAACTCTTAAGACTTGTTTAGTTAGTGATAATAACTCATTAACTATTTTTTTGTATTAAACTATAAAAATAATTGAAGATAAAAAAGTTCTTTAAGAAAAGAAATAATGATACCTAAATATCTAATTTTTCTTTTATATTAACCAATAATTAAAGAATACATATTCTTAAACAACGGGAAGGAATTCATTTTCCTCATTTGTCCCTTAGTTCAGTAGAAAATTAGCCATATTTAAACTTAGTTGGTTCTTAAAATATTTCTTAATTTTATCTTACTTTTATATTTTGACTAAATAATAAACACCATTAGCAACTAAAACATGGCTGTTCAAAAAGTACTACCAACCAAACATGAACTAGTTGTGGGAAGTAGAGGCATCGAAACTTTAAATATATAGGTTGGAATGTGAAGTTTAGTTTATATGTCTCGATGGCACTAATTATAGATCAAAAAGAATAATTCAATTATAGAGGGTTCTATTAATTATTTTATTTGTGATATTTTATACACAAAGTTGCATTATATTATAAATTATATAATATAATATAATATTTAAAGAATGAATATATATAAATCACATGAAAAATTTTAAATAAAAAATTAATTATACATGTCACAATAATTGTAACTGTGATATTGTACACAATATTATGGACTAGCATTGTGTGTGTAGTTTTTCTTTTCTTTCTTTTTTTTTTTTTTCACTTCGTTTTACTTAAACAATATACAGATGATGATTACAAAACCTTAATGCAGCTATCCTTAGATCTTGGTTCCCAAACATGGTCGGTGATACTCCGGCGCCTCCCTTCACCGTCTGTTAATGATTTTAACCTTAAAGCTAGCCCAAAAGGATTTGAGCCAGGGCAGCATATCAGCGTTCCCAAGGTTGATATCATTACCCTTTCTGTAGTCATCAGCAATCATGAAATTAATAGGTGAAAATGATTCCGATTCCTGTAATTTTGACTTGCTCTTCAAGAGATGAATCTAATTCTCAGTGTTGGACTTTGCAGATTTTTAGGGATACCAATGATTAAATAATTGGACAACACTGACTAGTCGGAAAGACGCGTGTATTGTATATATCTAGGCAAAACACCCAATTTCAGGCCCTCAAACTTTTCGCTTCTTCTAAATCAGGCCCTGAAACTATCTTTTGGTCAATTTTATTTAGTGCTGACCAAAAAAAGTCAAACACTTCAACTAGTACTTAATTTGATATGCTCAATTTTGTTATTTCAAAGTTAAAATTTTTCATTCCTTAATTACGAAAATTGAAATGACTGATGATTAATTTATACTTACAAAAATTAAAAAATTAAAATAATTAAGAGTTTGAACCTCTATATATGTCAAAAGTCTTAAATTTGAAACCTTAGATGAGTAAAGAAAAGTTAGAAAAATGAAGATTATCTCTTGTTATATACTCATTATCAAAAATTGGTGACTTACATACACAAGCCTATAATTTTCAAAAATAATTAATATTTTTAAAAATAAACAGTTAGATTAAGATTATGCATGTCAAAGTTCATATTAGTTCTATATATGAATGATTTCTCAAATCCTTCCACACTATTAAAGAACATTTATTCACCAACGAATTTTTAACAATGCACATTTTGTCTCTATATGGTCAACTAGAGAAAAAAAAAAATTGGGCTTATTTATTCACTTAGGCAAATCTTGCAGGTGAAAAATGAGACATTGACATGGCTACATCGGTATAATTTTTCAGTGAGTTGTTGATTGGTAAGAGAAATTTTTAATTTTTTTGACTCTCACCAATTTACATCATTTACTGCCGTAATGTACGTTTGAGAAAAAACACTAAAAAATTAACTTAATATAGAATATTTAAATTTTTTTACTCCCTCCAGCTTATTCATTCCCTAATTTAATGTATATAAGTGAAGGGCATACTGGGAATTAATATATATAATCCTAATTTTGTAATTAAGAGAAATATTTGTTAAAACACTCCATTTACATAGAATATTCAAAAAAGAAGAAACAATTTTATTCACATAATTATTTCAAAAAACACATTTTCTTCACAAATTAAATCATCTCCCTTTGTTCCTAATAAAAATATTATAGACTGCAGTATAATTCCTTGTGTCATAGAAGGAGAGCAAAATTGGCCGAAAATTAATTTGAAATGGTTAACAGAGAAAAAAAAAAGGAAGTTTGAGGACTAGATTTGGCAACTTTGCGAGACCAATTTTTTTCAGATAATTTTATGATGATTACGCCTGTTGTTTTATGTAAGGGCGGTTACGGCGGTTAGCGTATATATTTTCCCAGATGGATCAGTCACATGCATTGTCCATGTTCACCGTCTTCATACTCTACGCTCTACAAATATTGTTCCAGTCCTTGCGTCAAAGTCAACGTGTTATGTAAGGGCAACACAATAATTAATTACTATTTAGTGGGAAGTTATGAATCCTTATCATTCCACTGACTTTTTGCAGGAAATCCCAATTGGCTTTTTGACTTGGAAAAAATAATGTTTTTTTTTTTTAATTCTCATCCTATGATGTTCATGCATGAATCAACACAACTTCACCTGCTCAAAAACTATAAATACGCACTTTCCTTCACTTCTTTTCCTCACACCTAAAACCCGAAACCAGTATAGCTAATTATACTCTTCAGCTAAAAAAAAAAAAAAAAGGGAGGCACATAGCTAGCTATGGAAAGCAGCAATATTTTCTCTTGTGTTCTCTTTTTTCTTACTGCAATCATCTCTGCTATCTTCTTGAAGCAGAGGAAAAGCTTTTGTAGAAGTAAGAGGAGGTTGCTGCCACCAGGGGAGATGGGGCTTCCTCTAGTCGGTGAAACAATGGACTTCTACAGAGCTCAAAAGAACAACAGGCTGTTCGAGGAATTTGTCCAGCCGCGGTTAGCAAAGTACGGACCGATCTTCAAAACCAACCTGATGGGCTCACCTACGGTGATTGTGAATGGAGCCGAAGCGAATCGATTCATCTTGTCCAGTGAGTTCAAGTTGGTGGTAAGCTCGTGGCCTTCGTCATCAGTGCAGCTCATGGGGACAAACTCCATCATGGGCAAACAATTAGGGGAGCAGCACCGCTGTATCCGAAGCCTCATATCCTCCAGTCTCAATTATGCCCATTTGGAGGCCCTGGTGCCAAAAATATGCAACACTGTTGAGTTGCACCTACAGAAAAATTGGCAAGGCAAAGATAACCTCAGCCTCTATCGTTCCACAAAGGTTTTGACTTTTACTATAGTCTTTGAATGCTTTTTGGGACTCAAGGTTGATCCCCAAATGGTTAATACATTCGAAAGAGTTCTCGAAGGGGTTTTTAAGCCAGCAATTAACTTTCCCGGCACTAAGTTTTCAAGAGCAAAGAAAGCAAGACAAGAAATAGAGAAGGAAATGGTAAAAGTAGTGAGAGAGAAGAGAAAGGAAATGGAGAGCGGGTTGGAACCGATAGAGAAAGGAGGCTTGACGTTGCTAGCCCGTCTGGTGGCTGCAATGATCCAAGGAGAAATTACTGAAGAGGAGGTCGTTGACAACGTAATAGTGCTTGTCTTCGCAGCTCACGATACCACTTCCTTTGCCATTGCCATGACATTCAAAATGTTAGCTCAACATCCTGAATGGTACTCTCGTGTTCATCAAGGTAAGTACTATACATTCATAGTAATTCATTTTTCTTGTGCAAATATTTTAAGTAGTTTGTTTTCTAATTAAGTTATTCATGAGATGTTCATCTTCAGAACATATGGACATATTAAGCAACAAAGGACCACATGAGGGCCTGACCATGGAAGATACCAAAAAAATGAAATATACTTGGCAAGTTGCTCGGGAAAGCATGCGGTTGTTCCCTCCCATCTTTGGCAGTTTCAGAAAAGCAATCATTGACATTGAATACGAAGGATTTACCATTCCAAAAGGATGGAAGGTGCTGTGGACAACATATGGGACACATTACAATACCGATTGCTTCGAAGATCCTCTACGATTTGATCCTAGCAGATTTGAGGAGGGCAGTATTCCACCCTACGTCTTCCTTCCCTTCGGAGGAGGGACAAGGGCGTGTGCAGGTTACCAACTTGCTAAGTTGAACATCCTCATCTTTGTTCACTTCGTCGTTACTAGCTATAACTGGTCTTTGGTTTATCCCAATGAGTCCATCACCATGGATCCTCTTCCTTTTCCTGCTTTTGGAATGCCTGTTAATATTTCACCTAAGATGCCATCAACCCCATGATTAAATTTTCCATTTTACCGTGATTTTATATAAACTTTGTACACCGCCTATCTTCATTTGAAAATAAATTAATGTCATGCCTTTTATTATAAATATATAAATTACAACTACTTCATTATATATATTGTAAATTGAGCTTTCTTTGTACAATGAAATGTGACTTTGACGACTTTTAACTTCGTTAATGTCTTAATGAGATGTGCCGGCGCCGCTTTGTAGATTATCCGAATAAACTAATTACTGACAACAAATTAATTAAAATCAAGTCACGTGACATCTTATTTGGAAAATAGGACAAGCATCATGGCCCAAAGTCTTTCAATAATATTTTAAAAAAAAATTAAAACTTAAAAAAATAAAGCTGCTAATCGAATAAAGATTGTTTGTGCACTTAACTCAGTCACGTAATACTCCCCTTAAAACAATCTACTTGAAAGTCATTTTAAACTATTTTTGTTGCAATTAATTAATTTGATATTGATCATTTAGGAATATTCCATATTATTAAAAATAATAAACAGAAAACAGGAACATACGTAGTTGTTGCCTAGTTTGGGACCATTGGAGGACTCTGGCTTTACAAAAACAGGAAATTTGCATTAGAGGACTCTAGCTGCTAGCTTTGCTATATTTAGGCAAATTTTACTATAAACCTCCAAACTTATCCCAGATTTCTAATTAAATCTCTAAACTTTTATTGAAACAAATAAGTTTTTAAACTTGTCAATCTAGGCATTTTAATTCTTTTTCCTTATGGCCTTGCTTGTATAAATAAAATCAATATCTATCACAGATAATAACATGTTAATAACTTGTTTACATAAGTGAAATACAAATGAGTATTAAGTTTGCCATAAAGAAGAGAGGTTATATTATTTAGATCATTACATTTAGGGTCTTATTTGTTTTAATAAAAATTTAGAAATTTAATAAAAAAATTTGGGATAAGTTAGGAGCTTAACATATTTGCCTTTCCTATATATATTCCAATGCTCTGTTTTTAATAGACTACTAGGCTTTTTTTTTTTTTTGAAATGCAAAAGAAAAATTTTTTATTTTGGGAGTACAAGGGTTACTAGACTAGGTGCGCTATTTATGTAAGAAAACTATCTTTATGTAGAGATTGTGTATGGGAAAAAAAATACACTTTTATATAGGGTTGGGCATTTTTTAACCGAACCGATTGTCTACTCGAAAATTGAACTGAAAAAATGAATTTGGTTTGGTTTCAACGGTTTTTGGTTTTATTTTTTTGGTTTTAGTGTTAACGAATATATTTCGGTTCGGTTTTGGTTGAGTCTCTCAAAAACCAAAAACCGAAAATAAGTCATTTTAAAACTAAAATTAAGATAAATATGATAAAATATAATAAAATATGATAAAATATGTGATAAAATATAATATATTATTAGTAAAATAATTGATTATTATTTATTATCAAAAATCGAAACCGGACCAATTTAAAACCGATTTATTGATAATCAAACCGATTGATTTTTTAATAATTTTGGTTCGGTTTCGATTCTCAAAATTAAGAAAAAAAATTTCGGTTATTTCAAAACCGGTTTCGATTTTAACCAAAACCGGTTTTTGCCCACCCCTACTTTTATACTCTATTAATAAATTTTGATTCATTTAAAAAAAGTTTGGGACCAATTGGATCGGTGCTCTTAGGGTTGGGTTTGAATAATTTATGCGCTTTTTTTTTTTTTTTGGTTTTCAATCATGTAATGTAAAAAACAAATAAATTTAATTAATGAAGGTTTTTCAAGGTTAAAATAGGATTTTCGGAAGAAAAAAAATGTTTTTCTAACCTTTTACGAGCAATTGGCTTACTGTCTCGGTTAGAAGGGTCGGTGCAAGCCCATGACAGGTCATCTTGCATAATATTTTCAATTTTAAATTTCTGACCACTAGATATGTAATCAAGGTTTTTAAAACCGGACCGGTCATTGAACCATTTTTAGGTTTGGTTTTTGGTTTGATCGGTTCAATCGATGAACCGGCCGGTTCAAATAACAAGGGAAATTTGATGAGGGGGATAGGTAATTTTGTAATTTCATTGAAATTAAAGGTTAAAATCGGTATAAGAAAGGAATGGTGAGGATGAAATTGAAAAAACTAAAAAGAAAATTGCATGAGAAATTGAACCGGTGGTTTTTTCGGTTTTATCGATTCCACCGGTTTTGACTGGTTTTGAACGATTTTGATCGGTTTTGAATGATTTTTGAACAGTTTTGATCGGTTTTGACCTCAAACGGTTTTTTTGTGTGAACCGAGCCGTTTTCATTACCGGGTATCGGTCTGACCGGTTCAACCGGCCGGTCCGGTTCGGTTTTAAAAACCTTGTATGTAATACCCCAAAAATTCTAGAACAATTAAGTGTGAGCTAGGGATCTAATTGTGAAAAAATAATATTGTTGAGCTTAATCATCAAATTTCCAAATTTGAGGGACTTAAAAGAGAAAAAAATTAGGATAAGGTTGGCTGATTTTTTTTTCTTTTTCTTTCTTTCTTCGGCCGCGCGTTCTGCTCTTCTTTTTCTCCCCTACACCGAACAAGAAGCCGAAGCCCCGACAGCACCCAACCACTTGAGAAACGGTAAAAGCTTGATTGTTTTCCCTTCTTTTCTTGTTCAAGAACAAGATTTAGAACCTTGAAATCTCCCCCCTGTAGAAAATTCCAGATCTGCTCTGCTCCCTCCTCTCCGTCCGCTGCTCTGCTGTGCGGGTGTGATTTTCTCTAGTTTCTGGTAAGGGAAACAGCAACCAATTCCTCTTTTCTCCCTTGATTTGGCTTGGGTTTACTCTAATTTCTTTTGGTTTCTCCAATTTCTAGTAGATCCCAAAATTTTCCCCCTAATTCCCGCCGGCTTCCTCAACCTGCAACTCCGGTTTACTTGCTGAATTTTCTGGTAAGTGACAGCTCCCTTTAAGTCCTAAATTACCGATTAGTTGCTGAATTTAGTCCAGTTAATTGCTGCCCCTGTGCTGTCCGAATTTCTGCTGAATTAGGGGATGAATTCCGGTAGCAATTAGGACAAAATTAAGCTTAATTCATGTAGAATTTATATGATTGGGTGTTAATTGGCTATTGTGAGGTTCTGGAGAAAAAATCCCGTGAATTAGCCATTGATTTGCCAAAGCCGGTTCCTCCATGTTGTTGTCCGTGAAATTGGAGAATTTTGTATATGTGTTATGTACATATATATATATATATATAAATGCACAATCTGATTTTTGTGCTCAATTTCAGATAGAAGATAAATAAGGATAAATAAATAAAGAAATAAGATTTCTTATGGGATTAATGGCCGGCAACAATAGGAAGGTTTAAATGTTTAGTTTATATTGAGAATAACATTGAGATGTCTGGTCATATGGTTATTAATTCCGGAATATTTTGGTTAGGTTCTTGATTATTCTGTCACCCTAGCACTTGGAGTGAATTTTCTGTGTTATGCGATTGAGGTAAGTAAATTATGGTAACGCCTTTCGATTTCAAAGTAAAAGCATATTTTAAATTGTTTTTGAGATGATGGCAAGGTTTAAATTGATTTTATTAGCACCGAGCATGATTGGTTTGAAATGGAATTATTATCATTTTCATTGAGTTGAGCATGTCTACTTGGAGTTTACTTAATTGCCCTGATGATTTGAGAATTTTTGTAAATTATGATTTTCCTCCATGCCCACATGGGAATTTTTCCAATTTATTCTTGAAATTTGAGATTGATTGTGAATTATGGATTTTTCCTATAAATCCTGCATGATTTTGTCTCTAATATAGTCATGATTACTGATTACTGACACCCGTTAGTGGGAGTTGCAAACGCTAGCACATGTCGAATGTATACCGATAGGACCGGTTCATTTTGTTATCCTGTCAGTGGGATAATACATTGGTTGTTACTGAAACTGACGTCTGCTAGTGGGAGTTGTTAAACAGTGGCCATGACTTATAGATGAGACTACTATTGAATCTTATTCTGCATTAACGGTTTATCATTAAACACTTTGTTATTGATTTATAGATGAGACTACTATTGAATCTTATTCTGCATTAACGGTTTATCATTGAACGTTTTGTTATGTTAAATTATTTATCAAGCATGTTTAAATTTTACTCATGGGCTACTCATATTTTACTTACTAAGATATCTTATCTCATAGTTTTCCTTATCCACTATTTCAGGAAGTGAGACTTGAGACACGGTTAACTAGGAGAAGTGACGAGCTAGACAGTTAGTCAGTATTTTGGACTTAAATCCTTTTTGGACTTAAGCCGTTAGCCACACATGCTTGTCATAGATATGAAATGATAAATCATTTTTTGTATACTGAATTTTCTTTGGTTATAGCCATGACTGTTTATAAACTTTTGTACATCTGGACTAATAAATTTTTGGAAATGGAAAGCTAAATAATAACTGAGTCTTTGGATTTAAGTTATGTAAATTGGTAATTATGAACACAGTAAGTTTCGAGTCTTGTGCATTTGTGGAATTCGTTTATGAGTGCACGGCGTCTGTTCCACTCCTGGTTTTAGGCGTGACAAGATACTTATTAGACTTTTTATCATTTCATGAAGAAAATGATTAAAAAATAATTTTTTATATAATTATTTTTATGATTTTACATCTTATTTAATTATTTATTCCTTTTATTATGGGTCTACTCTTAAAATAATATACTACTCATTTAATAATACATAAAATTTATATAAAAATATCATACGAAGAGATTGTTTTCATATTATTACTCATGTAGCCTTACATAAAGGAAAATGAATTTTATACAACTTTTTTATTTCAATTTTTTGTACAATTTTTTATTTCATTTTTCTGTATAACCTAACGTGTTATTAAAAGGATTGATTCTTTTAATTTATATGAGACTTATGATATTAAATGTATCCACTCATTTAATGACACGTAAAAGTTGTATAAAAAAGTGGTGAAAAAATGTTATTTTTATAACGCCACCCTTACATAATTTTTTTTTTTTTTGAGGAAAGATGAAATTGAATTCCCATAAGATTAGATCTCATTTACTCCTACAGTAACTGTTATCTTTTTAGAATAATTAATGATATTTGGATAAAAAATCATGAGTCAAACAAGAGGTCAAACGGATATGGCAAGTCACGTTATTTTTGACTTGGCTTTTCTTTTAAAAATATGAAAATAAAAAGGGTTCAATGTTGCTAATGCCAATCCTTCTCCCTTGTTCAGTGGGGAAAAAAATAAAGATTCAATAGATCAACAGGATGAGGGAAATGAATTGTAAAGGTGAACCATAGAGCAAAGAAACGGGTGAAGAGATCCTTGAGTGATTCTATCGGAGCTCAAAGGAAGGTGGTAGATTGTGGGTCCTAATTAATGAAATCGGAGTTCACAATGATGAGTCAATTTTGGACTCTAATTTGAGCAATGGAAATGACCCTCGACATTCTTCCATTGGATTTAATACCAATTTGCAATGAAGTGAAGGAATTGATAGAGTTAGTTACGAAGCAGGCAAGGAAGGCAAAAATTGACATCGACCCAGATGATGAAAAGGCCACGAAACAAGTTCTTACGATCTTTAATCAATTCAAGAAAGGAATAGAGTCGAAATTCAAGTACTTTAAATGGGTCCTTCATATTTTTACAATTCTTTTTCCTCATCTTGAACAATTGAAAAAGATCTGAACTAAACAAGTAACAATTCTTCTTTTATTTTTCACTAAACTATTGAAAAAATCTATACTAAACCCTTTTTATTTCAATTTTTTAAAAAGAAAAGCTGGCTCTACTAATAACGTGGCTTGCGACATCTACTCAACCTCTTGTTCGATTTATTAGTTTCGATTCAAATATTATTACTTTATTTTTTTAACTTTAAATTTATCTCAAGTCAAATTTAGTGATTAAATTTTTAAAAAATAATTAAACAAATAGAGAAATCTAGAGTAAATTTTTCCTATTTCAATTTTTTAAAAGAAAATCTAACTCAGCTAATAATGTGGCTTGCCACATCCATTCAACTTTTTTTTCGATCTATTAGTTTCGACCCAAATATATATCATTACTCTATTTTTAATTTTAAATTTGTCTCAAATCAAATTCGGAGACTAGATTTTGAGACTATACGGCTACCGTACCAGAAAATGCCCACTTTATTTCACAGACATTATTCACTTGGTCAACAATCAATTGGGAATCACAGTAGACTCGAATTGCATTCGTTCTCAGCATGGTTACAAATTGGAGTCCAAGGAGTAGTGATTCATACTATGTTGTTTGTTGCTTCAAAACTAAATTTCAAGACATGTTTGCTATTAAAACCATCTGAACTTAGGAGAACAGCTTCGGCTCCTGATCTTTTTCCATTCGATAGCCCATCCACATACAATGTCCAGGTATCTTGCTCGACCATCGGCCATGCCAAGGTGCACTCTATGATGAAGTCAACTAAGGCTTCAGTCTTGCTGGTAATCCTCAGCTAGCTGGTAAGTTATTTCAAATTCCCTAGCTGTATTATTGCCTACTTAATCAGACGACGTGAACACTTTGGTTTCTGTAAGATGTGCCTCAATGGCTGCTCGGTTAACACCACAATCGGATGTGCTTGGAAATAAGGTTGGAGTTTCTAAGTTGCAGTCGCCACTGCCAAGGCTGCCTTCTCAGCGGATAGGTACCTGCGGTTGACCTCCTTCAGGACCTTACTTATATATATAGTATACTTGTTTCTGTGTCTTCCCTTCATCTCTGACAATAACTAAACAAATTGCATCATAAAAAATCCCTAAATATAAGTACAAAATCTCACCATCTTCTGGCATTCTTTAGTGCATACAAATTCCTCCAACTTCCCATCTCCACTCTTATCATGAACTGTTCTCAAAGTCTTGAAAAATGGTAAGCACTTTTCAGCCAATCTGGACGTAAATCGTTAAGCAATTTGGCCAATCAGGCACTGCACATCCTTTGACTTATTTCAGTGGCTCCTATCTCTTCTATTGCTATTGCTTTCATGTTTAGGACTTTTACATTTCCCTCATTATGTTATCATTTCACCTTTTACTTAAATAATGAAAATTGCAAATATGTACTCTTGGGTTCCCATAACATTCTCTTGGAAAAATATTTATTTTCTAGC